AGCGATGGTGGGTGGAGTGGCGCTACAGGGCCAGAGAGGAACCCCATTGCTTCTACCAAGATCCACCGGTGCCCCTACTGTCCCTATCAAACGCCCATCACATCTAATCTTAAGAAGCATGCTCGCATTCACACAGGAGAGAAACCATTCGGGTGTCCATATTGTCCATTTCGAGCAACCCAAATGGAGAATCTTAGAAAACATGTCCGTACACATACTGGGGAGAAACCTTACGCTTGTTCTCAGTGTGCCTTCCGCTGCACCAAGAAGAGCATCTTGATGAGCCATTTTATGTCACAACACACTTAAGGTAAACATAGACCTGTGTCTGATGGCTTAGGCCACTTTAAAATTCATTGCTTGTTTATCGTTAATAATCATCATCATCATCCCATTTTCCACTTTCATGGCATAGGGAAGCATCAGTCTGGAAGAATTAGAAAGGCAAATAGATAAAGAATACAGCTGTCAAAGAAAGACACCCCCATTTATTCACTGTATTTTTCACACTACATACTGCAGCACCCCATACTAACTCATACAACTAAGTGTAAAGCAGTTCTTTTTTGCTATTATTTAAAAATAGTGTCTATCAAATGTTTACCCCCTTAATTATGAGTTCATCTAGCCTTATTCACTACCACTTCTCAAACACTGTTCATACTCAGTCCCTCAATCCGAGTTTCAAATAATATTTCTAATAACCCCCTTATAGAAGTTTGCAATGGATTTCTACAATTGACACTTATATTTTAATAATGTGCTCTAATCACAAAGTGCACATGGGAATGTTTATAAAGTATTGTTAATTATTTACTGCTTACATTCAAGTAGAGACGGAACAACTAACACAGGAGAAATGTCTTCCACACATACACACTGTTGGAAGGAGTTTTAAATCCAGTGTTTCACCAGGACATACATTTAAAAAGTTTTGTTTCACCCAAAATGCATTTAAAAAGGCCCCTTCCTTACAGGACTTCAATACAAACTAGTACAGTGTGTATATATATATAAGATAATATAGCAATAGCTATAAGTACTGTTTTGAAATGCTGTAATATTTGTGAAAGGTATAAATTTTGTTTTGCTGTCTCTAATGAAGATACCTGACAGGAATGCAAGGAGACTACCCAAGGGTGAAGGACAATGAGTTAGGATAAATAATATTATCCTAACTCTATCTATTATTTGTGTGATTATCTATTTTTGTGTGCTGATGTGAATCTTTTATGACCTATTTTTATTTCATCTTTGATCAAAAACAAAAAATGTTTTTTTGACAGTATGTAATCTGTAGTTTAATGTTTTTTTCTTGGCAGGTGCTGGTGAGATCTGAGGCAAGATGTAGGGAGGAAGCTTTATCAACTAACCTCTGGAGTAAACTATCAAATAACGTCTTTCCCAGTGTCAGCCTTGCTAATAGTGGAGTTTCCAAGATCCATCAGTGTCACTATTGCCCTTATACTACCACTTTTAAGTGTAATTTATCACGGCACGAGAGAACTCATACTGGAGAAAAGCCATATTCTTGCCCACACTGTGATTTTCGGTGTACTCAGAATTGTGATCTTAAGAAACATATTCGTATTCATACTGGAGAAAAGCCTTTTGCATGTGCTCACTGTCCATATCGTTCTTCCCGAAGCGAAAGCTTAAAAAGTCATATGCGTATACATACAGCCATTGATAGTAGTTAAAGAAACCACTGGCAGAACCATGTTTTATCTAAGTAACACCTTGGTTTTGAATTATGCACATAAACTTTAAACTTAATAAAAAATACAGTTGCAGCAAACAGTACAAGAATTGTTTTATTGTTGAAGCCTTTGTAACATAATTTGTACATGATATATATTGTCCTTTTGTACATCATACATTTTTGCTTATCAAATGAGTAAATCAAAGAGTTTATGTTATTAAACCAAAAATAATATAAATAGTTTTAATTGCTTATGTATACAGTACCAAGCAAGACATATAATGTTCTTGTGAGTGATGTCACTGAAAGTGTGAATTACATTTGATTTATTTTATAGCAACATGGATGATTTATTAATGCATATAAGCTGTCATTGGCAGCTAACAAATGCTGAAAATGTTTTTATTACTTATTTAAGAATTTGAATTTGCCTACCCATGAACTAGGCATTGACGGTGCACTCCCTTTCCTCGATGTCCATGTGAGAATTAAAGACGACATTTTCACCACAGAAGTGAGTGACAGCCACCTCCCGGGTAAGTCCCTCTTTTTCTTTTATCTTTGGTTAGGTGCTCCAGGGAGTCGAAGGGGCTCTCCACAGAAAACCAGCGTAAGAGTGGAGTGTGGATTGAATGCAGCAAAACATGTAAGGAATAAGGGTTAGGAGAGGAGCGGAAGTGGGTGATTTATGTTAATGTTGTGGTTGCCTCGGATCAAGCTGGAACACATGAGTTCTGCATTCCTCTTTCATATGCCTCATTCCTGCAGTTGTTGGTCTCTCTTTTTTCCTGTCATATCCTTCTGAATAAATAATTCTTTGTATTCATGTGCACATAAAATACTAGGCAAAAGCAAACTTGTATCTTAGTCTCATTTGTGAACATTATTGTCACCAATCGATTTCTTACCTTCCTATACTGATCTAACCTGAAAACCTATTCTATTTGGCTATCCTCTCCTTCCAAATGCAACTTTGAGGTTCGCTTTCCCAGCATCTGTTCCCTATTTTCCTTTTTTTCAACACCTTCCAGTTCCTTCATTTTTACCACCAGTCATTGTTTTTAATTTCTAGCAGCTAGCGTGTACTCACTTAGTCGTGCTTGTGGGGGTAGAGCACTGGCTCTTTGATCCCGCCTCTCAACTGTCAACTAGTGTACAGCTTCTTGAGCCTACTGGGCTCTTATCAAATCTACATTTGAATATGTGTATGGAGTAAGCCTCAACCTGTCTTCAGGATACCATGTACTTATGTCACATAATGCTCATAGTTCCCATGCTGCAAATGTTCACAGTTTCCATGTAGTACATTTACAGTTATTAGCTATCACCAGGCACCAACCCTTCCTTATGTCCCATAGTACCACCCGTTCCATAGTACGTCTCATAATACCCGTCCCATAGTACCTATCCCATAGTACCCATCTCATAGCACACGTCCCATAGTACCCGTCCCATAGTACATCCCATAGTATCCATCCCATAGTACCTGTCCCATAGCACACGTCCCATAGTATGATCCATAGTACCCGTCCCATAGTATGTTCCATAGTACCCGTCCCATATTACACGTCCCATAGTACCCGTTCCATAGCACGTCCCATATTACCCATCCCATAGTATGTGCCATAGTATGTTCCATAGTACCTGTCCCATAGCACATGTCCCATAATACCCATTCCATAGTACCCGTCCCATAGTACCCATCCCATAGTACCCGTCCCATAGTACCCGTCCCATAATACCCGTCCCATCGCCGTGGACAGCAGAATAGTCTGTTTGCTCAAATTTTTAATGATAATTGTAATTTTCCGTTCCCACTTCTGGTGTGAGGTTCATGTACCATTTTCCATCCTATTCGAATATCACAGATCAACTACATCCTATTGAAAGCTCGTAGTTTTGTTGTGAGAAATCTTGGTAATCCTCTATAAATTATAACAATTATTCTATGAAATATTATCTGTATATATTTCAATTAGTCATATTATAATATATACAATAGATATACTCTTTGCAAATTAAAGAAAATGGATCGTATATTATGTATTATAGAAAACGAATTAACTAGGGTATACTACACTACCGCCCACAGGATGGGTATAATAATTCATTGAATTTTGAATTCTGTTGTGTCGGGGACAGGAAGCCAGGGTGTATTCATACACGATAGAGTTATACCGAGGCCCTCCTCCCCCCCAAGGCCGAATTACTGACCCCGCCCAGGATGCAACCCCATAAGAAGCTGACAAACTCCCGAGTACCTATTCATTGCTAGGTGAACAGAGGAAAGGTGAACATTAGCTGAAAGGAAATGTGTCCTACCATTCTTGTCCCGCCTGGGATTCGAACCCAGAATTCTTGATTGTACATCTAGGATGAATCCGACTCTACTACCGGGTATGGGAACCAATACTATTCACAAGATGATTATGGGGTTCACTACCCCCACGAGATGGGAATAGGGACCATTACACCCACAGAATGAGTATTGGGTTCAATACTACCAGCACGTGTACTCTGTACCCCCCACATGTACTCTGTAACCCCCCACATGTACTCTGTAACCCCCCACATGTACTCTGTAACCCCCACATGTACTCTGTACCCCCCACATGTACTCTGTAACCCCCCACATGTACTCTGTAATCCCCCACATGTACTCTATAACCCCCCACATGTACTCTGTAACCGCCCCCCACATATACTCTGTAACCCCCCCCCCCCCCCCACATGTACTCTGTAACCCTCCACATGTACTCCGAACATAAGAATAAAGGTAACTGCAGAAGGCCTATTGGTCCATACCCTGCAGGTCCTATTTAAAACCATCCAATCCCACTCATATACATGTCCAAGCCATGTTTGAAACAATCAAGGACCCCCCCCCCCCCCACTCCCACCACGTTACGTGGTAATTGGTTCCTGAACCAGTATTTACCCAGATCTTTTCTAAATCAAAACTTATCCAATTTATACCCATTGTTTCGTGTTCTGTCTTGTGTTGATACTTTTAATATTCTGTTAATATCCCCTTTGTTATGCCCATTCATCCACTTATACACCTCTATCATGTCATCCATAATTCTTCGTCTTTCTAGAGAATGTAATTTAAGCTCTCTGTGCCCCCCAAATGTACTCTGTGCCCTCCACATGTACTCTGTCCCACCACATGTGCTCTGTATCAGCACATGCTTGGGTTTATATATTTCTTGTTCAGCAAAAATAGTCCCAATATCAACTGAGTAACAAATCCGATCCCACGATCGTAGTCGCCCCTAAATCAACACAACAAATCGAGAGAAAACGGGATTGGGTTTGTTTACATGTCAGTCTGGCCTTGAGTAGTGGAGGATGAGGCTGTGTTATGGGGCCTTCTCGCCCTTTAAGGGCCCTGAAGATTCTCTGGATTATTTACAGCATGCTGGAAGAACCTCTGAGTATACATAGAAGCCAAAGGTAAGACATTTTGTTTGGTATTTGATGCTCGACACAAACATCTGAGAGGAGGAGAGAAGAAACTTGCGAATACTCAATTACATCATAACAAAATCCATGTAAATGTACAAAATTCCAAGGAAATATATTGACCAGACCACACACTAGAAGGTGAAGGGACGATGACGTTTCGGTCCGTCCTGGACCATTCTCAAGTCGATTGTGAAGGAAATATAGGAAATATACAAGAGAGACATGGGCAAACTATTTAGAAAAGACTATTTAGCATGCGGTAAAGCATGTGGTAAATAAACAAGGGAACACAGGCATTGACACAATGTTCCACAAGTAAGAATGTGGATGTAGGGCATCCACATGTGAGAACGTGGTTGTAGTGTAATGTAACGGAAATGAAAATTAACACATCTCTCAGGCAGCTATCCAAACTCTTCTCTTTTCACCAATCAGCCCGGCAGATGTTGTGTCCATCATACACTCTCTAAAAACCAAGGCAGGGAACACCAGTGAAATTCCGTCCATTGTGTACAAGAGAGCCTCCCATGCCCTTGCCCCACCCATAGCACTACTGTTCAACAAATCTATAGAGTGTCACACCTTCCCTGATATCCTCAAAAAAGCAAGAGTAACGCCAGTCCATAAAGGAGGCAATCCGGTGAATATAAACAATTATAGACCAATATCAAATCTACCCATTCTATCAAAAATATTTGAAAAAATTATTTACAAACAGCTCTATTCCTACCTCGTAAAATTCGACATACTCAGCCCCTGCCAGTTTGGCTTCCGGTCCCAAAAGAGCACCAACGATGCAATCATTAGTCTCCTTGACGTTATCTACTCAGCCCTTGACAAAAATGAGTTTCCGATTGGACTCTTCATTGACCTAAGAAAAGCCTTTGATACTGTTAATCACAACTACCTCTTACTTAAACTCCAGCATTATGGAATCCGAGGCCTTGCCCTTGACTACATCCGATCCTATCTTAGTGACAGACACCAATATGTAACCATCAATGATACAACTTCTTCCACTCTACCAATTACCATTGGAGTGCCACAGGGCAGCATCTTAGGACCTCTTCTATTTCTCATATATATATATATAAACGATCTGCCTAATGTCTCTAATATTCTCAAACCTATATTGTTTGCTGACGATACTACCCTTATCTATTCAAACCTCAACCCACATACACTAAATAATGTTGTGAATAATGAATTAAAAAAAGTCCACATATGGATGTCAACGAACAAACTAACATTAAACATCGAAAAGACTTACTACATCTTATTTGGAAGCAAATCATCAAATGCAATTCAGCTACAGATAGACAACATTAACATCAGTAATAAAAATGATGGCAAGTTTCTTGGCCTATTCCTAGACAAGAGACTCAACTTCAGCACCCACATTCAACACATAACTAAGAAAGTCATTAAGACAGTTGGTATACTCTCCAAAATCAGATATTATGTTCCTAACTCTGCTCTCCTCTCACTATATTATGCACTAATCTACCCCTATCTTAATTATGGTATCTGTGCATGGGGGTCTACCACTGCAAACCACCTTAAGCCCATCATCACACAGCAAAAATCTGCTATCAGAATAATAACTAACTCTGCTTTCAGACAACACTCAGCTCCCTTGTTTAAATCCCTAAACTTGCTAAATATGAACTCCCTCCACACATTCTCTTGTGTCAACTACATTTACAAAACCCTGTTCTTAAATGCAAACCATGCTCTGAAACTCTCCTTGGACAGATGTAATAGGACCCATTATCACCACACCAGAAATAAATATCTCTTTGATATCCCCAGGGTCAAACTTAATCTGTGTAAACACTCTATGCAAATTAAGGGACCTAGTCTATGGAACTCACTCCCTAGTGAATTGAAAAACTGTAAAACTTTTGCCTTATTTAAAAGCAAAACCAAAAAGTACCTAACTTCATCTTCTTAGTTTCCTACACTGAGCTTTAAATTTGCTCTGTACCTAGTGTTACCCAATCTCCTAATTTTTATGTAATATCAAACAACCTTATCATTGTGTTCATTGCTGTCTTCTTTTATGTGCTAGCCATATGCTGTATTGTGGCTACCAATTTTTGTCAACTACCATTCAAGCTGTCATTGCAATCAATCTTATATTGTTTCTGCTGTATTGTGCCTACCAATTTGTTGTCAACTACCATTCAAGCTGTCATTGCAATCAATCTTACCTACCTATGTGCTTTAATATACTGTACCTACAATTTTCTCTCATCATCTTTTTTTTTTTCATTTCATGTAATCTGTTATCATTTTTTTGTCTATAAATTTTGCAAGTATTTACCTCCTTAAAATTTTCTTAGATTAAGGACCTGCCCAAAACGCTGCGCGTGCTAGTGGCTTTACAAGACTGTAATTACCATATTTGTATCCTCACATTCCTTATGTACATTTTTGTATATGCATAAATAAATAAAAGGAAAGAAATGAAAAATGAAGTGTGGGCATGGGTTGAGGGAGGTAGAGAGGTGTGAGGAAGGAGTGGTCGGGAGAAAGAGAAAGTTTAGAATCAGAGGGAGAAAATGAGATCAAGGGAAAAATTAGAAGAGGAGTAGACAGTAAGAATGCTAGAATAGTAAAAAGATAGAGAGATTAAAGGATAAAAGTTGCTGCCATTATCAGGGAAGACTCCCTCAATTATAGACCTGTATCATTGACAAGTGTAATAATCAAAATATTGAAGAAAATAATTAAAACTAAATAATGGAACACCTGGAGAGAAGTGATAAAATATCAGACAGACAGTATGGTTTTTGATCTGGAAGATCCTGTTTATCGAATTTACTCAGTTTCTATGATCATCCACAGAGATTTTACAGGACAGAGATGGTTGGGTTGACTGCATCTATATGGACCTTAAAAAAAAAGGCTTTCGAGAGAGTTCCACATAAGAGGTTGTTCTAGAAACTGGAACATATTGGAGGGGTGACAGGTAAGCTTTTAACATAGATGAAAATTTTCTGATAGAAAAATGAGAGCAGTAATCAGAGGCAATGTATCGGACTGGACAAATGTCACAAGTGGAGTACCACAGGGTTCAGTTCTTGCATCAGTGATGTTCATTGTCTACATAAATGATCTGCCAGATGGAATACAGAATTATATGAACATGTTTGCTGATGATGATAAGATAATAGGAAGGATAAGAAACTTAGATGATTGTAATGCCCTTCAAGAAGACCTGGACAAAATAAGTATATGGAGCACCGCTTGGCAAATGGAATTTAATGTGCATAAATACCATGTTATGGAATATGGAATAGGAGAACATAGACCCCCACACAATCTGTAAATTATTTGGAAAATCTTTAAAGAATTCTGATAAAGAAACAGATCTAGGGGTGGTTGTAGATAGAAAAGTATCACCTGAGGACCACATAAAGAATGTTGTTCGAGGAGCCTATGCTACGCTTTCTAACTTCAGAATTGCTTTTAAATACATGGATGACGAAATACTAAAGAAATTGTTCACAATTTTTATTAGGCCAAAGCTAGAATATGCAGTGGGTTATATGGGCACCATATCTTAAGAAGCACATCAACAAACTGGAAAAGGTGCAAAGACATGCTACTAAGTGGCTCCCAGAACTGAAAGGCAAGAGCTATGAGGAGAGGTTAGAGGTATTAAATATGCCAAAACTGGAAGATAGAAGAAAAAGAGGCAATATGATCACTACGTACAAGATAGTAACAGGAATCGATAAAATTGATAGGGAAGACTTCCTGAGACCTGGAACTTTGAAAACAAAAGGTCATAGATTTAAAATAACTAAACAAAGCAGCTGAAGAAATATAAGAAAATTCACTTTTGCAGAGTGATAGACGGTTGTAACAAGTTACGTGAGGCCAAAACCGTCAGTAGTTTCAAAGTGTTATATGACAAAGAGCACTGGGAAGACGGGACACCACGAGGGTAGCTGTCATCCTTTAACTTTACACTTAGGTACCAGTAATCACACACTCACTCTTTCACACACACAAGTTAAGTGAGAAGGTGGTGGAGGCCAAGACCGTCAGTAGTTTCAAAGCGTTATATGACAAAGAGTGCTGGGAAGACGGGACACCACGAGCGTAGCTCTCATCCTGTAACTACACTTAGGTAATTACACTTAGGTAATTACACTCTCACACACTCACTCTTTCACACACACACTCTCACACACTCACTCTTTCACTATGGAATGTGGAATAGGAGAACATAGACCCCACACAACCTATATATTATGTGAGAAATCTTTAAAGAATTCTGATAAAGAAAGAGATCTAGGAGTGGTTCTAGATAGAAAACTATCACCTGAGGACCACATAAAGAATATTGTGCAAGGAGCCTATGCTATGCTTTCTAACTTCAGAATTGCATTTAAATACATGGATGGCGATATACTAAAGAAATTGTTCATGACTTTTGTTAGGCCAAAGCTAGAATATGCAGCTGTTGTGTGGTGCCCATATCTTAAGAAGCACATCAAAAAACTGGAAAAGGTGCAAAGACATGCTACTAAGTGGCTCCCAGAACTGAAGGGCAAGAGCTACGAGGAGAGGTTAGAAGCATTAAATATGCCAAAACTAGAAGACAGAAGAAAAAGAGGTGATATGATCACTACATACAAAATAGTAACAGGAATTGATAAAATCGACAGGGAAGACTTCCTGAGACCTGGAATTTCAAGAACAAGAGGTCATAGATTTAAACTAGCTAAACACAGATGCCGAAGAAATATAAGAAAATTCACCTTCGCAAATAGAGTGGTAGACGGTTGGAACAAGTTAAGTGAGAAGGTGGTGGAGGCCAAGACCGTCAGTAGTTTCAAAGCGTTATATGACAAAGAGTGCTGGGAAGACGGGACACCACGAGCGTAGCTCTCATCCTGTAACTACACTTAGGTAATTACACTTAGGTAATTACACACACACTCTCACACACTCACTCTTTCACACACACACTC